ATGATGCCCAACAAAGTCGGTGTGACCACCCAACCGTATAGGCGAGGACACCAATCGGCGTCGACGGAGGCAAGCCGACGGTGAAGACGATGACGCCCAACAACGGTGGTGTAACCAACCAACCGTATAGGCAGAAACACCAGTCGGCGTCGGCGATGGCAGGCCGGCGGTGAAGATGTAGATGTCCAATCAACGATGGTGTGACCAAACAACCGTGTAGGCGGAGACACCAGTCGGCGGCGACGACGGCAAGCCGGTGGTGAAGACATAAACGCCCAACAACGGTGGTGTGACCATCCAACCATGTAGGCGAGGACATCAATCGGCAGCGGCGATGGCAGGCCGGCGGTGAAGACGTAGACGCCCAACAACGGTGGTGTGACCATCCGACCGTATAGGCGAAGGCACCAGTCGGCGACGGTAAAGGCAAGCCGGTGGTGATGTTCTGACCGATCCCTTCTTGAAGCGTAGGAGATAAGCTAATAGCCATGAATCCCTATTTTGCATATCCGGATCTGGATCCTGCATAACAAACATATAGGATGAGTAGTATCTGATGTAAATACAGTACTTGAGGAAAATTTAAGTATTTTAAAATATCTATAAATATGTATTTCTCCTCTTGTCAATTTTGATTTCCCCGAGCAGATGATTCCTTACGTTTAAACACTCTGCCCGATTACTCATTGACATGAGTTCGTCATTAATGAAACAAAGTTTCACACATCAGAATTTACTACTCGGGTACTTTTGCAATTGTTAAGAGCAGAAAACAAATTATCTTATCCCTATGCTTTTGATTTCTTCCGAGTAATGCTTAGAACCTTGCGTTACTCGGTCTATCCAATGAGCCCCCGGGTTCTAGGAATCGGCCCAAAGGCAACTATCCATCAACAAACTAAACATAAAGCATAGGAAGATAGAACTCTATAACTTGATAGGCACTTTATTTTTACTCGGATTATTCACAAGCAATCAAGATAAATATTGTGAAAATTATTGAAAAAATATGATATAACATCTATAGCCCCCGACTCACTACTCAATAGAGAACCAATTGATGTAGTGAGGCAGAGGAAAAGAAAAATATCATATAAAAATGATGACTTAGCTTTTTGGTATTCCCCTTGGTGACGACAGAGATGGCTGATGTGGGAAAAAGGTCGTCCATCAATAGCGACTAAAACACCAGCCATGGAGGCAGCTGAGGCGACTGGCGATGAAGATGAGGACGCCCATCAACGGTGGTGTGACCAATCGGCGGTGTGACCAGCTAACCGTATAGGCAAAAGCACCAGTCAGCGGCGGCGAAAGCAGGCCGGCGGTGAAGACGTAGATGCCCATCAACGGCAGTGTGACCAACCAACTGTGTAGGCAGAGACACCAGTCAATGGCGGTGAAGGCAAGCCGGTGGTGAAGACGTAGATGCCCATCGACGGCGGTGTGACCAACCAACCTTGTAGGCGAGGACACCAGTCGGCGGCGGCGAAGGCAGACCGACGGTGAAGACGTAGACACCCATCGACGGTGATGTGACCAACCAACCGTATAGGCACAAACACTAGTCGGCGGCGGCGAAGGCGTACAACCGTGGTGGCGAAAACCACCCGTAGGCGATGACAAAGGCAGCCGTTGGTGAAGAAGAAGGTGTATATGTGTCATCAGCGGAGTATGGCATGCTTGATTGAATCAGAGACGATATCTCCCGATGATCTCAGCCAATATGTTATATATCCTGATGTATGTTGTGTGGATTCCATAAAAAAGGTTGCTGTGTGCATGTATCTGTCTAGGTAGGTAGATCACGCACGTGCATGTATAGCATGGACAGAAGTGGCTTTGATCGATGCCATTAAGGGGTGAAAACGGTACAGAATATTTCCGGATTCCGGGCAGGTTTTCGAAAACGGAATCGGTCGGTTGGAATTTTTTTGGAATTTTTCGGAAACGGAAACGAATACGGAAATATTTTCTCGGAAACGGAATCGAAAATGATAAGAGCAGTTTCCGACGGAACTCGGAATCGGTCGAAAACTTTCCGAAAACTCTCTCGGAATTTCCGAAGTTACAAAGTCCATAATACCTCCCGCTTGCCCAGCCCAACCCACTACAGCTAACCCTACCCTAGTTGAGGAGAGTGAGAGGTAGGGATGGCAATTTCCCCCGCGGGGCCAGGTCCCCTGCGGGGACCCACCCCTACGGGGGCGGGGGCGGGGCCGATTTTCGACCCGCGGGTGCGTCGGGGACGGGGCCCCGCATTTGGGCGGGGAGGGGATGGGGGACTGATTTCACCCGCGGGTGACCCGCGGGGCCCCGGGGAGTACATATAGACCTCAAAATATAGATCAAAGAAAGCCCAAAAAGCCCAGCCCACTAAAAAAATCCTTAACCCTAGCAGCACTGCAGCACAGCAGCAGTGCAGCACATCCCTCAGTCTCTCTCCTCCCCACATCCATTCCCCTCCCCTCCCGTCATCCACTCATCCCGTGCGGCTGTGGCGTGAGCCGCGTGACCTAGGCGGCGGCGCGCGCTCGTGGGCGGCTCGCCGGCTCGCCTCTGGATCTCGCCCTCTCGGCGTCGCCGGCGCCTGCCAGCCGCCAGGCCACCATCTCCTCTCCCCTCCTCTCCAGTCTCCCCTCCGGCGTCCGGCGGCTCGAGCTCGTCCTCTCCCTCCGGAGTCAGCGGCGGCGGCACACGGGGCGGCGCCACGGCGGGCCGGCGGCGGCGCACAGGCGCGGCGGGGAGGCGACACCGGCAGCAAGGGCGCGGCCGGCGGCGCACAGGGCGGCGGCGGCGGCGCACAGGGCGCGGCCGGCGGCGAGGTTGCAGCACATCACAAAGAGTGAGAGGTATTGCTCCATCTCCAATACTCCAAATGTGCCTTGTGATTTGTGAATGAAATTATGAAACAGAAGATTGTGATCTATTTCAGTGTATATTTCAGTGTATATTTGGTAGATTTGGTAGTACATAGCACATAGCAGCAGATTGTGATCTATTATTGAATTATGTTATTTGTGGACAGAATGTCGAACCCTGCTGCCACCGTTGAGTCACAAGTTGCATTGACACCATCTTCCACTTCCACTCCCACTCCAACCAATGCTCCAAGCGTCGAAATAAATGATTCACAAGGTACAGAAGTAGAACATGATAATAAGAGACTGAAATCTGCAGCATGGCAAGATTTTGTTAAGAAGAAAATAAATGGTGCGTGGAAAGCTGAATGCAAATGGTGTCACAACAAGCTTGGAGCTAAAAGTAGAAATGGGACTAAACATTTGTTAGACCATATTAAAACTTGCAAGTCTAGGCATGCTAGAAAAGGTCTAACACAATCCAATTTGAAGATGGGAATAGATGCAGAAGGGAGGGTTACCGTAGGGAAATATGTCTTTGATCAAGAGGTTGTTAGGAAAGAACTTGCACTGATGATATGCCTCCATGAGTATCCACTTTCTATTGTAGACCATGTTGGTTTTCGTAGGTTTTGTGGTGCATTGCAACCTTTGTTCAAGGTTATGACCAGAAACACAATTAGGAAGGATATTATTGACTTGTTTGGGGTTAACAAGATTTCTATCAGTAATTATTTTCACAAGCTTCAGAGCCGTGTGGCCAGTACTACTGATTTATGGACAACAACTCATCAAAAGAAAGGATACATGGCAATCACCGCTCACTTCATCGATGATGAATGGAAATTGAAGAGTTTTCTTTTGAGGTATATTGAATATGTGCTGCACATTATGCTATATCATGCTTCTTACATTTGTTTAACTCTATACTAATGTTCTCTTGTGGTGTTTTATGTTTTGTAGGTTTATTTATGTACCAGCACCTCATACCGCTGATCTTATAAGTGAAATTATTTATGAGGTTCTTGCTGATTGGAACTTGGAGAGTAGGCTGTCTACTATCACACTTGACAACTGCAGCACCAATGACAAGTTAATGGAGAACCTATTGGGGACAATGCTAGATAAGTTGCCTGCTGATACTCTTATGTTAAATGGTTCATTGCTGCATATGCGTTGTTGTGCACATATTTTGAATTTGATTGTGAAAGATGGAATGACTATCCTAGATAAAATCATTGAGAAGGTTCGTGAGAGTGTTTCATTTTGGACAGCAACACCAAAGAGACATGAGAAATTTGAAAAACAGGCCCAACAAATAAATGTTAAGTATGAGAAAGTAATTGCCCTTGATTGCAAAACTAGATGGAATTCTACTTATCTCATGCTTAGCACTGCAGTTTTGTATCAAGATGTCTTTACAAAACTTGGAACTCGTGAAAAAATGTATACTCCTTATTGTCCATCAAATGATGATTGGAAGTTTGCTAGGGAGCTTTGTGATAGATTGAAGATTTTTTATGATGCAACAGAGGCTTTTTCTGGTAGTAAGTATTGTACTGCAAATCTTTTCTTTCCTAAGGCTTGTGGTATTTATTTGGCTATGAGAAAATGGTCAACTAGTGCTGATCCAAACATTATAACAATGACTAAATTGATGTCAGCCAAATATGAGAAGTATTGGAAGGATGTGCATGGTATTTTGGCTATTGCTAGTGTTTTGGATCCTAGATATAAACTTCATATGTTGAACGCTATGTTTATACAAATCTATGGAGAAGAGGTGGCACTAAGAAAAGTTAATGCTGTGAAAGAAGACTTGTATAAGTTAGTGCTACAATACCAAAATCATGTTGAGGAGGGTGTTGGAACTTCAGATGGAGTTAATGCTTCTTCAAGTGTTGCCCCTCCAGGGGGATTTGATTTGGTGGATGATATATTTGATCAGTATATGTCTGGACAAACTGTTGCCTCTTCCTCACAGATTCGCACTGAGTTAGATTTGTATTTGGAAGAGAAACCGTTGCCTAGGACACAAGATTTTGATATTATCAATTGGTGGAAGTTTGGGGGCATTAGGTACCCAACTTTGAGACAGATTGCCCGGGACATTTTGGCAATCCCTATTACAACAGTAGCATTTGAATCAGCATTTAGTACTGGTGGGAGGGTGATAACTCCAAATCGTAATCAGCTTAAACCTGATCTTGTGGAGGCACTTATGTGTGTGCAAGCATGGGGTCGTGCTGATATGTTAGGTAATTTCATTTTTGCTTTTGTATCGTTCAAGTTTAATTTGTCCTTTCATGTTTCTTCCATTTCATCTAATTGCAAATCACATTATATGTTGATAGCTGAAATTGCTAACAAGACCAATGCATTGAACACGGTACTTGACGATGAATCAGAATCGGTATGTCCTACACTCCCACTTTATTGTTTTTATTACTATAACATACAATGCTTAGTTGCTTCCTCTAATTTTGATTTCAGGAAGCATCTACTGTCACTGAAGCTTGAGGTGGAGATTTCATAAGTGAAGGATGGGCTAGAAAGCCTGCAATTGCAAACTATCTACCTATATATTTTATTATGTTGGCAATGTAATAGTATATTAAGACTTCTATATTTCTGTGAGACTGAATTTGCTTGCTGAGTTGCTGTGTGTGATGTGTTGAACAATTCAACGGTTGAACTTTGAAGGCTTGATTCGCTTGAACCGTTGAACTCATGTGTGTTAGTGTGTAACTGTGTGAAATGATGGATATCATCAATGTGTTCTTGCTGAATTTTTATGATGAAATTGAAGTATTCATGCTATTTTTGATGGTGTGTTAATTATGTACAATATTTCTTTTTGATGAAATGATGATTGTGTTGTATTTTTTGAGCTGATTGGATGGAGATGCTACCCAATGCGGGGCCCCGGTCGGGTTGCGGGGCCCCGCAGGGGTCGGGGGCGGGGGATGTTTTCAACCCGCATCACTGGTCGGGGCCGGGGGCGGGGGGTGAAGTCGGGGGTCGGGGTCGGGGGCGTTCCAGCCCAACCCGGCCCCGTCCCGCCCCGTTGCCATCCCTAGTGAGAGGTAGAGACTAGGGATCTGGCACTGCAGTCCCCCAACGCCGCCGCTGTCTCGTGCGACCGCCGTCCCGCGCCGTCCTACCCCCGCCGCCGTCTCGCGCCACCGCCGTCCCGCGCCGTCCTACCCCGCCGTCGCCCTACGCCGCCGCTGTCTTGCGCCACCGCCGTCCCGCGCTGTCCTCTCCCCGCCGTCGCTCGCCATCCCTGCCCCCGGCGTTTTGCCCCTCTCTGTGGTTCGCCGCCGCCGTCCCCGCCGCCTCTCACCGTCCACGCCGTCGACGCCGATGCCCACTAGCGACTCTTCCTCACCTCCACCAACGCTGACGACTCCTCGCCGCCCCGCCGCCCGGGCATCATCCCCCAGCCTCGCCGCCGCCCCCCTCTCTGCCTTGTCGGGAAGCACAGGAGAAGAAAGAAGCAGAGAAAGAAAAGAGACAGGGAGAGAGAGAAAAGAGATGAGGAAGAAAGAGAGAAAGAAAAGAAAAGAAGATAAAAATAAAAAGAGAGTGGGACCCACTCCTTTCCCTCAGCCCTTGACTCAGCTTTGACCGGCTTACAGTGGGGCCCATTAAAGTATTTCATTTGGTATAATTGTATTTTATGATTAATTATTGACTGTTGAGACTTGAGAATTTGACTTGATAAAAGTTTGAAGCTCAGTTTGAGGGGTTTTTGTATTCCGATAAATTTTTGTTACCGTATCCGCGCCGGTTCGTTTTCGCTTCATTTTCGGTTTCGATAATATTCGTTTCCGTTTTCGTTTCCGGGGTTTCCGTTTCCGATTCCGACTCTGAAAATAATATGAAAACGAAAACGATAAAGGTTGTTTCCGTCCGTTTTCGTACCGTTTTCACCCCTAATGCCATTAGGTGATGCATGTGAATTAAATCCTGGTTGCTTGGTGATGAGTTCTTGACGTGTATGCATGCATATACATGCACGAGCCATATACTTATACGGGAGGGTGCAGGACTTCCTTGTGCGATAATTGCTCCAATCAGTTGCTCGGAGTCCACGTCGATTCCGATTCAAACAATTGAATCTTGCCAAAAAAATTTGATGTCGACGAGAAAGACGCCGATGCCTCAAAGCTCTGCATGCATGTTTTCTGCCGATGCTTGATCTGTTGCTTGACAGCTTTGCATGCATGTTTCGTCGCGTCGGGACATTACTGCATATATGTTAATATAACAACCCAGATTGGTTCTTGATCTGACGCCTTGAGGATAATGATAGCGAATTGCGATCTTATGTGGCAGCAGCGTCTGGGCTCGTGAAATCAAAAAACTTGCCGGGATGAAGGTGATGCTGGCGACGGCCATAGTCGATTGGATCTGAAACTCACCATGGTCGAGTGTTTGTTTTCCTTCTTAGTTAGATTAAATCTCTCCCGACTGGTTTGAATCCGAGTCAGAGAGGCGAGAGCTTGTTAAAGTTGTCGGCGGCGAGGAAGTGAAAACTCCCGAAGCGAAAAAGAAGCCGGCGACTCATGAAGTTGATTCCATCACACTCGTCGATAGGAAATTCGGTGCACCCCTACCTTGCGCCAACTGTCGAAACAAGAATTCGGCAAGTTGATTCCATCATGAAGTTGATTATTTATTTTTTCAATAATTTGTGTGATGTTTCTCTGATTGCTAGTAACCATCGCCTGCGTATAAATTCTAAACTAAAATTACTTAAAACCGTGCAGTTTTGGTTTTATAAGAAAATATATATATGCAACTATATATCATTTGTACATAATGTGTTTCTTTTTTTTAATATTTAGCATATCTTATTTTTGCACTTTCTAAACTCTGAGTAACAAATTTTCTTTTGTATAATATATATGTCTTTATGAATTTTACGATATGATAATTGAAGATATTTTTCTATTAAAATTATGGTTAATACGACTACATCTAATTAAATGAGCTGAATATGTTGAAATATTGATTTAATTGTAAGTATATAGTATTGCAGTATGAAACTATGGTTTAGCGGTAAATGTCTTCTTAATCAGAAAATATATTAGAAAATGAGACTTTTATTGCTCTCAAGTTGTAGTTTAGGGTTGTATACTTCGAACTGAAATTATGTTAGATTTTGTTTCTATCATAATGCCAAAAAATTCAAATTTTCTATTATATTATATTTAAAATTTTAGTTATTTTTATTTTATCAGTACTCCAAAAATATTTGAACATTTCTATTTAGAATGGATTTCAAATTAATATATTTGAACATTGCTATTTGAGCATTCCATCAAGCACCCCTTAAATGCTTTGATCTCTGCAATTTGAAATGGAAATATAAGTGGGTTAAGGCCATACAACTTAGCATGGGATAAAGACAACCCTTAAATGTTTTCAATATATTGTGTATGACAAATAGATCCTAGACGCGGTACACATTATGACATGAAAAAATGATATAATTAAAAGATTTTTCTCTAATCTATTAGTGACATCAGATATCATATATATATATATATATAATTTAGATGTTATGATCATCTTAGGAATGTTTATTTATCTCTAAAAAGATCATTTATTCATAAAAGTGCAACTAAGATCAAGTATAAGTAAATAGCCCCTATATGCATGTTAAGAGAAATTAACTACTTCCACTGTTGAGGAAAAATATATCAATATTTACAACACCAAATTATTTTTATTGAATTCAAAATTGAATATTTTTATAATATGTTTGTTTTGTGTTGAAAATGTTACTATGTTTTTTTTATAAACTAATTCAAGTAATTTGACATTGACAAAATTTAAGAATTACTTGTAATTTAAAACAGAAGGAGTTGGAAGAAGGTCATTAGATGTCTAGGAGTTGGAAGAAGGTCATTAGATGTCTAGCATGGTATAAATAATGGGTTGACCGTTTATTAAAAACATAAGGTGAGATATTTTAATTTTTAATCAGAAATTTTAGTATTTTATTTTATTTATTGGAGGCTTAAAGGTGGATAGATGTGGTCCACAATGTAAGTCAATACGCATATTAAATTATTGATTTAATTGAAAATTACAATAGTTTAGAAATATCATAAATTGAATATACGATTTAAAATTTTATGAGTATTTTAAAGTCTAATTTATGTTGTTAAGAGCTTGCTTGAGGAGAAAGAGAAGAAAAACACATGACAGAGGGGAAAGCTGGCTAGACTTGTTAGGCGGAGTCTATTTGTGGGATTTTTTTTTTCTCGTAAAGATAATTTTGGATTTAGTTACTATGGAGATAAAAGGAACAGAGAAGGAATGGTAGGAAGAGAGGAACGATAGGCATGGGAGGGAGGGAGGGAGTTTTGGGATTTTCTTTTAAAGATATATCTAACCATATAAGAAATTGGATCGTTGATGTAAGTGGAAACCGATGGTTAGATGTTTTATTTTCATTTATCACACTTATAGATTATTTTAATTTATTAGAGTGTTACGTGGCGATCAACTTAGAAGTGTTTATGGGTGTACCATTAGGCCTAGAGATTTGCAGTTAGAATGGCTGCACGATCTAATTTTTAGATAACAAAATATGAGCAATATGGATTTTGAATTCTATATTTAATTATAAATAACACAACAATTGACAACACCTGAGAATAAAATTGAACTTGAGAGTCATGATCATTTAGATGTCCGAATTATTTTGTAATATATTGAGTGTTAATGATAAAATAGGATAAGTTAGCAAAAATAGGAGAAGATGGGAGATTCAGAGTGTGGAAGGGATACTTACTGCGTTTTTTTTACCTCATGTATGTAAGATGTTGGTGGTAGGGATACCAGATTTATTTTCTTTGAGATAGAGATCTATTGGTTAAAATTAACGAATCCACCATTTGACAATGTGATTATAGGGTGTCACGGGATAATATAGGAGCGTTTGTAGGAGGCCATATGACGGCTCGAGAGTGTTTATAGGAAGTTTAATTGGCTTTCAGTATATAAGTCTATTAAACTTTCTACATGTCACCACATTAAAAGAAATATTAAAAATTATGAGAAAAAGGAAAAATATCTAGCTGTTGATTTTCACTTAAATCTGTAATATGTGATTTTATATATCTATTAACACTTCCTCCTAAACTCCCCTACGTGTACGTACGATGTGCGTAGTAGTACTGTTTGTTTGCAGAAGGTGTAAAGAAAAAGTACTGTTTGCCAAAAAAAAGGCGAAAAAAAATAATACTAACGTAGTAACGTATGTACACCGCAGAAAAAAAAAGAACGTATGTATCCTGCCCGATCCTGACCCTGTTATGGTGTTCTCCTCCTATTTTTTCTCTGTATATTAGTTAGAGAAAATACAGCAATTTTTTTTTAAAAAAAGTGAGGATACCAGATTTATTTTTTAGATGGAGATCTAATAGTTAAAATTAACGGTCCACCGATTTAAAGGAAAACCGACGGTGAGATTATAGAATGACATATGGTGACCTAGAAGCGTTTGTAGAAGGTCACATGGCGGCTTGAGAGCGTTTATAAGAAAATGAGTGTTGCATTACGCATGCAGTAGTTCTGAATCCAATTTCTGTCTACACCAGTGGGTAAATCAAGAGATCTCTGAAGATCTTTCAGCGATG